TACTTGTTATTGACCGTGATATCATTCAACCCCCGATAATCAATACAAGGTCGAAGAGAGCCATCATTTTTACTCACAAAGAAGAATCCTGCCCCCAGGGGTGATGACGAGGGACGAATGAGACCAGCAGCTAGGGACTCCTTTATGTAGGTCTCCAAAGCCTCACGTTCAGGTCGGGAGATGCTGTCTAACCGTCCCTTGGGATAGGCAGCTCCAGGGAACAGGTTTATGGCACAATCATATGGTCGGTGGGGAGGGAGTGACAGAGCCCTCTGCTTACTGAACACTTCCCCCAAATCGTGATATGTCTCGGGAACCAGGGACAAATCTGGGGGGTTAGCCTCAATCACCTGACTGGGAACAGAATGGGAACAGGCAGTCTTGAGGCAGTTAGCATGACAATCAATGCTCCAACTAGTTACCTTGCCAGTCACCCAATCGAACGTGGGATTGTGTTCTTTCAGCCAGGGGTATCCAAGGACCAGAGGAACATGGGAAGAAGGCAGAATGAAGAATGAGATAACCTCAGAATGATTCCCTGACAACAGCATCTTAACCGGTTCAGTCCTCATCGTGATACGTGCCAGACTACTGCCGTTCAGAGTGGTAGCTTCAATGGCTTCCGGTAATCGCTCCTTGGAAAGCCCCAGCTGTTCCACCACGTCGGCATCAATAAAGCTTCCATCGGCACCTGAATCGACGAAAGCGTTAATCGCTAAACTCTGATTCCTGTTCATGAGGGTAGCCGGGAAACGGGGTCTGACAGGGGTATTGAGAGGTTGGAACTGGCTCGCTAAAAGTCCTCCCAACTTTAGCGAGCCGAGCAGTTTGACGGCCGCTGGGAACAAGTGGAGATGTAATGTCCCGAACTACCACAGTAGAGGCAGCGGTTGGTCTTACGTCTATGTTGGCGCTCCTCCTTGGTTAACCCGTGCCGCCCCACTTGCATGGGTTCAGAATCTGGAGGCAGGACCTCTCCACTAATCCCGTGTGGTGGACAATGATTGACGCATTCTGGTCCACCTCCTGACCCGACTGGAAACTGAGAAGCTGATTGATTGGACGGGCCCCATTGCTTCTCCCTCCTTCTCTCTCGAACTCTGTTATCCACCCGAATAGACAAAGCTACCAAACTGTCCAGGTCACTAGGCTCCGGATAGGAGATCAACTCATCCTTGAGTTGCTCCGACAGCCCCTGGTAAAAGGCCGCTTGCAGTGACTCCTCATTCCACCCACTCTCCACAGCCAATGTCCTGAATTCGACTACGAAGTCGGCAACGCTGCGAGTTCCTTGGCGAAGAGAAAACAGGCGCTTAGCTGCGTCCTTACCTCGGACTGGATGGTCAAACAGCTTCCTCATCTCTGCCGTGAACTGCTGGTATGACGCCATGCAGGTGTCCTGTCGTTCCCATACGGCTGAAGCCCACTCCAGGGCTCTACCACGCAGCAATTCAATAACAAAGGCTATCCTAGCCTTGTCTGTGGCGTAAGAGTGGGGCTGTAGATCGAACACTAATCCACACTGCATAAGAAAGGAACGGCATCTTCCCAAATCCCCTTCATACTTCTCAGGCGTCGGAACCTTGGGCTCACTGAAGGGCACAGCTCCAGAAGCGGCAGGCGAGAGAGGTGAAACCGGTGGTGGATTCTCCACCGGCAAACTGAGCTGAGCCTGGATCTTCGTCAGCCTGGCAGAAAAGTTCCGAACCGATAACGCTATCTCCTGTAGCGCCGTACTGTGTTGTCCCAACATCAGCTCCTGATGGGTAATGGCATGGCGAACAGAGTCCAGGTCCGCTGGGTTCATTTATGGCCGGATCGTTCTGTCACGGTTCTCTAAGACCGAACCCAGAAGCAGACCAGGACAAGGTGAGTTGAACGAATGAGAGTGTTTATTTACAGATAAAAGATGCAGAATAGTCCAGGAGACGGAGCGGGTGGCGGAGATGAGTAGGTGGTGGTGAAGTGGCAGATGAACTGATGGCACGGCAGGGGTTGGGTGAAGGTTCCGGGAGAATGACTGTAGACAGAACAAACGGAGGTAAGTACAAGGCAGGTCAACAAGGTGCAAAAAAACAACAAAACTAACGCTAGTACTCAGAGGCTGATACGCTGGCAAAACGTACTGTTTATGGCTAACGATCCGGCATGGAATGGATGTCAGGTCAGAGCTTATGAAGGGGTGATGATCAGGACCAGGTGTGCCGAAGCTGATGAGAAGCAGGAGCTGGTAATCGAGAGATCACCCGCCTAGCAACGTCGCCCGGCAACCGGACAGGGTGCGTTCAGGCACCTTCGGGAAACAGGAGAAACAGAGCAGAAAAACGGCAACACAGGCAGGAACAGACTCAGGATGCAGGGTTCATGACAGCCAGGGTCAGAATTTTTCATGGACAGTACTGTCTGGATTTTTATCTTGTGTAAACTTTGGACATGTACATATATTACTAACTGGGCCATTCCACCAAGTCGATGGCTTTTGAGATGTGTAACTTGGTGAAAGAAAACGTTTGATTGCACCTAATTTTATCATTCTGTCATAAAGAGTTCAACTTAATAAAAAACATGTTTTCCCATCTAAAGAGGTTAAATAAATAAAATACTATAGTAAAGGCCTATTAAGTACCAAATAAAGTAACAGGGTTGAAGTCCCCTTGTGACATGGAAGCGTCACCAAAAAAAATGCTATTGTTAAATCATTTCTAGCCTGTCTATGGGTAAGAGGGTTGGGGTGTTAAGCTCGACCCACTCAGTTTACCACAAAAAAACTGAAAATGGCCAAAAAGAGTAGAAAATGAATCACTAATCACATTAAATAAATAATAATCAGAAATGACTGTCCAAGCAACAAAATAACAAAGACTTTACAATCATGGTGAAAACCTGGAGACATTTTGGAGTTAAGATCTTCTTAGCAGTCACAGAGGGACATGTCAAAATGATGAATTTTGGCACTTTAGCAAGTCTTTATTCGTATATATATATATATTTTTTGATTTATTGAATAGTCCATGTGGTCTATATTAAAGGGCACTTCATTTAATATAACAGACTTTTTAAATTCTATATTGGTGCACAATTCCTACTTAAAATATGAAAAGGCACTCATTTCGTGGAACAACCCAACTATTACAGTGTTTGGATTGTGTCTATTACAGCGTATCCAGATTTGAATCCAGAAGCATGTGGATGTCCATGCATGTCAGATCACCGATTATAGACCAGTCAACATGCCGTGTTACCTGAGCAGTGAAATGTGCTGTATATCAAGGTAACATCTCACCACTTTTGTAACGACAACGCAGGGAGTCAGGAAGCAGGTGCAGATGGTGAGTTTAATAATAACAAACATAGAGAGTTACAAAACAAGAGAATTGTCTGGACATGAAAACAGAACCATTATTGCCTAATGACTGAGGTTGGTGAGGGCTATAAGAAGGGAGAGTAATCAGGGTGGCAATGAAGTCCAGGTGTGCTTAACGATGGGTAGCAGGTGTGCGCAATGATGGTTGCCAGGTGTGCGCAATGTGGGTTGCCAGGACTGGTGGTTAGTAGACCGGCGATGTCGAGCGCCGGAGGGAGGGAGCAGGAGTAGGCGTGACAACTTTTTCAACAAATACCTTTAAGTTGAAGATTTTGTGGACTGTAACCTCTTCAGCAATGTGATCATATTCTCAAAGGAAAAACAAATCTCTTGTCTGATATTGTTTGCTGTAGAGCAACAGAGGACAGACAGCAGGACGACAGTGGGCCGACCTCATTTGACCAGGGCCTTTAGTGTTTGGATTGGACACCCCCTTAGTTCTTCAGAGGACGGCTGGATCTTTCACAGCCATAGAGACAGAAACTGCACAGTAAGCACAATTAATATACTGTAAGGGCATTAATAAAACTTTCGGTAAAGTTTTAGAAGAACAAAGGGGATGTATCTTACACAGTAGATATTCTATGCTACTACACAGTTTATTGTTGAAACGCCATCGAATCAAGTATGTAGGCTGTCTTATTTACATTGGTCTCATCCCTCACACAAGCCTTTAAATACTGTGACACCCTGTGGAGATTGGGCCTGGGAGTGTTTAGGTTACTGTAAACTTGTTATCGTTTGATTGGTCAATGGTGGTTGGTTTTGGGTTGAAAGGTTACACCTTCAGATGTTAAGAAATTGAATTAAATGCCTTTGTTCTCTCTCTTATCCTGTATCCAGTCCATGGAGGAAACTTGTATGATCAGTTCTCATTTCCTATGCTTCTAGGCCTCTGGCCTAGTAAGCATCTCTTTGTTCATGCTTTGTTCTGTAAGTTAACCTTAGTTAATGCTTAGTAACTTAAGCTTTATGTCTTGTATGTGAATCCATTCATTGTACAATGTTAATTAAATATCTGCCTTTGGTATAGACAATTCTCAGACCAATTCTTGCTAGTCAACGTCAACTCATTGCCTATGCTTGCTTGTATATTTTTATTATCTTTATGGAGTCAGATAAACATTTTAATAGGCTAATTGCTTAGTCTTATTACCAGTCACATGTGAGGTATTTATAATATCATATATACTGAATATACACATGTCAAATTTTACTGTCCACTACAAGTACATTTATGACCAAGCAGTAAGCATTCATACATTATAATTATTATCTGAATATTGTCTCATGATTTACAAACTAATTGGGTGGACCATACCCAATGAATCATAGCATATAGCACAAGATGCTGACAAGACAAGGGACACACAAGGACAGAACAGGAGACGCAATGGCAAGGCAGACCATTGCTCCATAATGACTCCATGTGGCTTGTCCTTAAGTCCCTGTTTATGCAGATGTTGTTTGTCAGGGTCCAGGTGGAAGGATAGGTCAGCAAGTTTAAACCACCCCCCCGTCTCTTTCCAAAACATTGTTCCATTGTTACAGACACTGTGGGGGTTGGACCCATAGAGGTGTTCTGTTTAATCCCATGGTTGGACCCTATAAAAGGACCAGTGTGTCCATCCATCCTGTCACAGTACCTGGAACCACTTGGAGTCGTGATCATCCTCTCTGAGTTGTGAAAGTTTGAGTGTTAACCTCAGTCTCCCTCCACAAGAAGATGCAGGACTTCGCCTTCGCTGCCCTCTCCATCTGGCTGTGTCTGGGTGCCACCACTCTGGCAGAGTCCCACGGCCCACAACACTGCAGTAAGGATTATCTGCTTTATATCTACTTGTAGAAGTTCATGTTGCTGTGCACTGTGTAAAACTGTTGTTAGTTGTATGACTATTTCTGAAATATTGTTAAGGTTTATAGATTTGACAGTCTCTTCTAACTTAAATTATACCTATATGTCTACACATGATCTCTGAGTTTGAAAATCTGTCTAACTGCCGTCTTTGTCTTTTAGCATCACCTAATATGACTGGGGTCCTGACTGTGGTGAGTTGTCCATTAATCCATTAACCATTATCAATGTCCAGTTTCATGTAAGGACACTGTGTGGCTATTTTTCCATTATTTCAAAACCAAACCAGACTCTCAGCTCAGGCAATCCTGTTTTTGTCCACTGATGTTTTCTCTTAAACACAATTATATTGGGACAGTTGGCTAAGTTTTTGCAGGTACAGAATTGGGTCATATTCATCTCTCTCTCTTCCTCTTGCTTTTTCTCTGTTGATAAAACAGATGGCCCTTACAGGAGGTGAAATCAAGGCAACTGGACATTACAGCTACGACTCTACAGACAAGAAGCTACGTTTCACTGAAAGTGAGATGCACCTCAACAAGACTGAGCATCTGGAGGACTACCTGATGCTGTTTGAAGAGGTACCACTGAGAACTAACAGAAATACACACTTATAAGGCAAGATTTCAGTTGAGTCCAACCCAATTGTAATGCAGAAAAGCTGCTTTATAACATCACAAAGTCTACATGCATAACACACTTGTTACTGTGGTTATGACACTGCATCATCATGTGGTCCTCTGTAGCTCAGCTGGTAGAGCACGGCGCTTGTAACGCCAAGGTAGTGGGTTCGATCCCCAGGACCACCCATACACAAAAATGTATGCACGCACGACTGTAAGTCGCTTTGGATAAAAGCGTCTGCTAAATGGCATATTATTATTATAATATTATTATCATAACCGAGTCTTCCTCCATCTCTACCGTCTCTCTCAGGGGGTCTTCTATGACATTGACATGAAGAACCATTCCTGTAAGAAGATGTCTCTGCACTCTCATGCTCACGCTCTTGAACTCCCCGCTGGTGCAGCCCATCAGGTTGAGCTGTTTTTGGGGAGTAACACTGTTCAGGAGGAGAACATCAAAGTGAACATATGGATGGGATCCGTGGCTGAGACTAAGGGTGAGTATGATACGCATTAGGAGTCAGACTGTCAATGTGATTTTTATTAACAAAGTAATACATGATGGTTTATATACTGTATATTGGTTTATATAGCAAAGCTATTGAGGTGTATCAAATCAAAGCATTCACATAAAGTATACGTCTGTCCTAATGTCTGTCTGTCTATCTGATCTCCAGGCCAGTATTCTGTGTCAACTACTGTGGGAGAATGTCTACCACTTAGTACTTTCTACTCAACTGACTCCATCACACTCCTCTTCAGGTGTGTGACATACGTTTAACTTGCTTAAAGCAGTGTAAGGTCACTGAGATGTATGTAAAGTATGCTTTTACCATATTGCCCTATTACAGTACTAGATTTATTTGAAGATTGATGAAGATTTCGTTCTACACTGTATATCTGATTGTGCTTACGGTGTAGGTTCTTGCATGCCCAAAATCTTCATGTGTTTTCTCTTTTTCTCACAGTAATTCTGAAGTGGTCACTGAAGTGAAGGACCCTGAAGTGTTCACTCTGCCATCTTTCTGTGAGGCTGTGGAGCTGGAGGAGACTCCAGAGGGCCAGAATAATGACTTCTTCAATCTTTTCAACACGGTCTGAGACAGTGGCACCAGGATCTCCAGCCCCAACCCACCAAGAGCCTGGCCAGCTAATCCACCTAGATGTTTCTCTCTCTCTAATGACTACATTTGAGTGTTTTATTACAATCTCTCCTCTTCTGTTAGATAAGATATGTATTATAATTTACTTTCTTTATTGATTCCCCTTTGAAGACATTGCATAAAGATGGATCAGATGTAAAAAGGAAAGTTAATTTCAAGTTATCATGTTAATGTAATCTCTACGTTTGAACAGGATATAATGGGATATAACGTTTGTACCTTACACTATTAATCTGTCACTTTAAATTGCTAATGCGTAAGAGGTCTGCATAGGCAAATAAGATAATAAAAACTCCAAATCTTTTCCAGTCTCCAAATGTATTTTTTTATTACCGAAGTCATCTTCAACTTTTTCCACAAACATACATAAGAATATCTCATAATCTCTCGCTCTCGCTCTCTGAAACTAATTGCAGCCCCATAGCGTCTAGCCCCTGTAGCCCACATTGGCTAAGCTCTAGTCTCATTAATTAGTCATGCCCTTGATCCAGAACAATAGTGTCACTGTCTTTGTGTCTGTCAGTATTTCTGGGGGTAGGTTTACAGAAATGTATTTCACATTCACAGACATGGTCACTCGTGGCCTGTTGTAAATGGGGTTTGAAATCACTTTTAAACTATTTCTGGTTAACAGAGAGGGATGTGATACCTGAAAAAGCGATGAAGTCATGAAACCCAAAACAAGCAGGGAGACAGAGAGTGAACCCTATCTGGGGTGAGTTGCTGAGCATGAGGCCAGCTGCTGTCCTTGGTGCTGCAGCTGCCAGGGCTGGGATAGTGAGGCTGACTGGAACCCTCCTCCAAACATGCCGAAATGTGTAGGCCTACTGGCCCATTTCAGCACTACCACATGGGGGCCACTGCACAGCAGCAGTTGCAACAGTGGGGGACTAGTCAGTGTATCAAATTAAACTGTCAAAGCAACGCTACGAATCAGGCCTACCTAATTTATTCCTGGAGAAGAGAGATAACATACTTTTGTTTTCTGTAACGCTCAGTGCGAGGACCTTGGAAAGGCACTGGCAGTCTGGCACTACTCTTCCATTGACAGTAAAATAATAAAAGGCTGTGAGCGTTGAGGCGGGTCACGTGTCGATGGCTCCTTTGCCACTAGCCCATCAGTGCAAGTCTAGACGATGAGTCACAGGCGTTATTGAATGCACTTTCAGATAAGGAACATGCTTGTTGTTAATTACATGAAATCTTAGTTTCTCGCCGTCGTCATAGCAAATAGGCCTAATGTGCGTAAAAACTTGGACATCGGCTTGTTTTTTTTGGATTAACAATACATTTTATTAACTGTCTATTACTTTGAAATTGGTCGCACGGTGACTATTTAACTTTGAACCATGGCGATTGCACACGTTGCTACAGAATACGTTTTCTCCGACTTTTTATTGAAGGATCCAACAGAGTCGAAGTACAAAGGAGTGCGTCTGGAGCTGGCGGTAGACAAAATAGTAACTTTCATCGCGGTTGGTCTCCCTTTGTTACTTATTTCCCTCGCGTTTGCCCAGGAGGTGTCAGTAGGTGAGTTGAATTACTGATAGATTATCAGAACACACGCTAAAATGTTTAAATCGGTCGAATAAAGCATCTGGGTCAAACATAGAAATTGATAAAATAGTATTCTCTGTAGAATTGAGCGCACGCACTACATCAGAGCAGACTAGCGGGTTCTCTCGGCGAACAAACTCTGTCTTTCTTTGTTTAGTTTCTTGCAGTCCATTGCAGTCAAGCACTGTAGGCCTAAACAATAAAACACTGCTTCAATGATTTCAGTGCCAACATTTACACGAATGGATTCTTACATTCTCGTCAGATGAATGATCTCGTAAACATGTCTAATCCCTGGGTCGTTCTTTGTCTGCTCCATAGAGCCCATAACTAAAATTCAGACCACCACCGTCTGTCAAAGGAAAACAGGCAATTTCACTGAAATGTGTCGCCCCTGATTAACCTATCCAATATTGTTAAATGTTTATCTTGTTAAAACAGCTGTGTTGCTTGTCCCTCAAAATGTAGTCTTAGTTACATTTTAGCCTTCTTGTCTTGTATGTTGTTCGAGAGCAGGCTCACAGCGCCGCCAACCTGCGTGAAGCAGTTAGATTGTAGTTATTTGAAAATGACTCAACAACCTCGTAAACAAATCCACACGGCCACACCCCTCCTTTCACTGCTTTTCATATTTGATCCTTTCTCAGTTGTAGTAGGCTCTAAAATTATTTATACTGAATAAAGTGACTGAGAGGTAGCAGGTAGATAAACAGGTTCGTGAGTAAAAGATGTAGCCTAATAGATTAATAAAATCATGGGGAAATAATTTCTAATGCTGAGTCACAGGCTAATTCTCACTTGGCAGTGTGTTAAAGGGTTACACATCAAGCAAATAACTAGGATACAGTGGAAATCAATGTATTTTTACCGTCCATCCTCAGCACTATGGGACAACAACAAGTGGCCTGTTCTAACCCTGTCCTCCAATCCCTTTATGTCTGAATGCAGGTACCCAGATCAGCTGTTTTGCCCCTACGAACTTCTCGTGGCGACAGGCGGCCTATGTTGACTCCTTCTGCTGGGCTGCGGTGCAGGAGCAGCAACCCAGTGTTGATGGAATCAAGGGCGCGCCCCTATGGCTGCACAAGGTACAGACCCTCCTCAGTTAGCCAAGACCAATATGGGGACGTGCCCTGTGTCCCAATTCTCCTACCTTTCTCAAAGTGTGCATTTGTCCTCTTCTCCCCTTGCACAACTCACAAGTGCTTACTTACTGTAGGGCAGAACATAGAGAATTGGGACACATAGGTGGACTGTGTGGATTCAACATACAAAAAGCCATAATGTAGTGTAGTAATGTGGGTCAGTGGTCGGAGCAAAGGGGAGCTTCAGTCAGTGTGAGTGAGATTGACCTGTTAATGTGGCCCTAACAGTTATGGCTGCATGGGGAGTTGTGGAATAACGCTTCTCATTGGTAAACACAACGCAGCATTACATTTAGAATATTTATGATTGCAATACCCACCTGAGCTCTCAGGAGGGTTTAAATCAGGCCAGACTGTCAAGTAGAGTCAACACTATTCATCTACATTAAAGCCCTGTTACCATGGCCTCTACAATTATAATTATGCAGCCTCTTCTCAGACGACTGGGAGAGATACTCAGAGTGTTTCTTGATGAAGTGAATAATATCTCCATATGCAGGTTCAATAATAATCAAATCAAATCAAATTGTATTTGTCACATGCGCCGAATATAACAGGTGTAGACCTTACAGTGAAATGCTTACTTACAAGTCCTTAACCAACAATGCAGTTTTAAGAAAAATAAGTGTTATGAAAGTATTTACTAAATAAACTGAAGAGAAAAAAAAGAAGAAGAAAAAGAGCAACAATAAAATGACAGTAACGAGGATATATACAGAGGTAATTAAGGTAATATGTACATGTAGGTAAAGTGACTATGCATAGATAATAAACAGAGAGTAGCAGCAGCGTAAAAATGGGGTGGGGGGTCAATGCAAGTAGTCCGGGTAGCCATTTAATTAGCTGTTCGGGAGTCTTATGGCTTCGGGGTAGAAGCTGTTAAGAAGCCTTTTGGACCTAGACTTTGCACTCCGGTACCGCTTGCCATGCTGTAGCAGAGAGAACATTCTATGATTAGGGTGGCTGGAGTCTTTGGCAATTTTTAGGGCCTTCCTATAGTAATATCTCTATAATGCATGTCATTATGTTATAATCTGTCCTTGTAGTCGAGGCATTACAATTCCCACCGGTGAGAAAGAGAATTTAACATCTAAATTGGAGTGACATTTCTCAAAACTTTTCCAAACCGTGAGTCACAACTCATTCATCATAGGTCCAGGTGTATTAATTTGGTTTACTTCTGTGGCTCATACCAATGTGGGTCACACCAATCTTCTTTATTTTCCACAGTCAGTTCATGTGGATTGGTCATCTTTCTGGTTCTCATATTTAAAGGAGTCATGCAATTCTTGCTTTCTTTTTGGTTCCCTCTCACCTGCTTTTATTCCCCTCTGCCCTACACCTCCAGTTCTTCCCCTACATCCTCCTGTTGTTGGCCATCCTCATGTACATCCCTGCTCTGTTCTGGCGCTTCACGGCCACCCCCCACCTCTCCTCTGACCTCAACTTCATAATGGAAGAGCTGGACCGCTCCTATAACCGAGCCATCAGACTGGCCAAGAGCCTGGCCTCATCTATAGACACCAAAAAAGTATCTGACGACTCCCCCAGGTAAACACTGCACTAGGACCTTGAACACTCCATCAACTTTAGATTATTTAGGTTCATTCTTTCTCTCTTCCACATGTGCTCAAAGACTCCTAAGGGCCAGATGTACTAAACGTTTGCACTCTTTTTTCAAAAGTGATAATAAAGTTTTGGATATAAGATAGTATAGTGATAATGGCTGGTTCCGAATAACTAATAATGGAACCTATAGAGATCAAATGAATTTTTATTTGCTTACGCTAGCCTACTAGCTATGCAGTCTGAAACAATGTTGGACTGATCTAGTTAAAACAGCAGAGAGAGTTGTTTGCCTGCGGAGGTGAACCTTGCGTTTCTCCCCCTTTAGTTTTATTAAAAGGATGGCTTAGTGTAGAAACACAAGCATGACCTTTTCAGAACAGCTACTGTTGCCTCACACAATGTTCTCATTTCCAGATGTCCATCAATGGAGTGTAGTGCCATCAGAGGACAAAGAGTTCATATGACAGCTTGTGAGAAACTCTGTGAGAATTTTAGATGAGATAAAATGCTCAATATTTTTCATTGACAGGGTCAGAATGAAAGAGAGAGAAACCTTATTAACCAGAAGAACAGGTAGTAAGAAATTGACTGATTTGAAAAAAAGAGTTGAAATAATTTGTTTGGCTTCGCAGCAGTGGAGACTATGCTGAACCCAGCCAGGCTATCAGATACAGTGTGTCTCTTTGTCTGAACTGTGATATAGGCAGAGCTGTTCATTAGATCAGCAATAGACAGTGCTCAACTCTATTTTCTTCAATAAACAGTGCTTAGAAGAATGCTACAATAGCCTAGGGTCAAATTGCATAGTACAACTATTAAAAAAATATCCAGCACTCACTTGATGAAGTTGCATCAATTCTTTTTTTTAATGTACTGCACGCATACACTACCGGTCAAAAGTTTTAGAACACCTACTCATTCAAGGGTTTTTCTTTATTTGTACTATTTTCTACATTGTAGAATAATAGTGAAGACATCAAAACTATGAAATAACACATATGGAATCATGTAGTAACCAAAATCCAGGCTCTGTCGTAGCCGGCCGTGACCGGGAGACCAATGGGGCGGCGCACAATTGGCCCAGCGTCGTCTAGGGTAGGGGAGGGAATGGCCGGCAGGGATGTAGCTCAGTTGGTAGAGCATGGCGTTTGCAACGCCAGGGTTGTGGGTTCGATTCCCACGGGGGTATGAAAAAATAAATAAATAATATAAGTCGCTCTGGATAAGAGCGTCTGCTAAATGACGTAAATGTAAATGTAAAAAAGTGTTAAACAAATCAAAATATATTTTATATTTGAGATTCTTCAAATAGCCACCCTTTGCCTTGATGACAGCTTTGCACACTCTTGGCATTCTCTCAACCAGCTTCACCTGGAATGCTTTTCCAACAGTCTTGAAGGAGTTCCCACATATGCTGAGCACTTGTTGGCTGCTTTTCCTTCACTCTGCGGTCCGACTCATCCCAAACCATCTCAATTTGGTTGAGCTCAGGGGATTGTGGAGGCCAGGTCATCTGATGCAGCACTCCATCACTCTCCTTCTTGGTAAAATAGCCCTTACACAGCCTGGAGGTGTGTTGGGTTATTGTCCTGTTGAAAAACAAATGATAGACCCACTAAGCTCAAACCAAATGGGATGGCATATAGCTGCAGAATACTGTGGTAGCCATGCTGGTTAAGTGTGCCTTGAATTCTAAATATATCACAGACAGTGTCACCATCAAAGCACCCCCACACCATAACACCTCCTCCTCAATGCTTTACGGTGGGAAATACACACCGTTCATCCGTTCACCCACACAGCGTCTCACAAAGACACGGCGGTTGGAACCATCAGACTCATCAGACCAAAGGACAAATTTCCACTGGTCTAATGTCCATTGCTCGTGTTTCTTGGCCCAAGCAGGTCTCTTCTTCTTATTGGTGTCCTTTAGTAGTGGTTTCTTTGCAGCAATTCGAGCATGATGAAGGCCTGATTCACACAGTCTCCTCTGAACAGTTGATGTTGAGATGTGTCTGTTACTTGAACTCTGTGAAACATTTATTTGGGCTGCAATTTCTGAGGCTGGTAACTCTAATGAACTTATCCTCTGCAGCAGAGGTAACTCTGGGTCTTCCATTCCTGTGGCGGTCCTCATGAGAGCCAGTTTCATCATAGCGCTTGATGGTTTTTGCAACTGCACTTTAAGAAACGTTCAAAGTTCTTTCTAATTTCATCTAATGATGGACTGTTGTTTCTCTTTGATTATTTGAGCTGTTCTTGCCATAATATGGACTTGGTCTTTTATCAAATAGGGCTATCTTCTGTAAACCCCCCCCCCCCCCCCCCTACCTTGTCACAACACAACTGATTAGCTCAAATGCATTAAGAAGGAAATAAATTCCACAAATTAACATTTAAGAAGGCACACGTGTTAATTGAAATGCATTTTAGGTGACTACCTCATGAAGCTGGTTGAGAGAATGCCAAGAGTGTGCAAAGCTGTCATCAAAACAAATATATTTTGATTTGTTTAACACTTTTTTGGTTACTACATGATTCCATATGTGTTATTCCATAGTTTTGATGTCTTCACTATTATTCTTCAATGTAGAAAATAGTACAAATAAAGAAAAACCCTTGAATGAGTAGGTGTTCTAAAACTTTTGACCGGTAGTGTACGTACAAGCACGCTCAAATGACGTTCATGTAGGTTAGCTCAGAGATATTACCTAAAATACACAAAATAAATGTAACGCAACTGGATAATGGGAGTGCTGGCCCCTTTATCTAGAACATATACTATCCGGCTCCACCTAATCTCCCTGTGGTGTGTTGTGATGGCAGTGCCCTGGACCTGACTGAGGGCTGCTTTAAATACCCCCTGGTGGAGCAGTACCTGAAGACCAAACGTTTCTCCCGCTGGCTGGTGGTGAAGTACCTGGCGTGTCGGGTGATTACTCTGCTCACCCTGCTGCTGGCCTGCCTCTACCTTGGCTACTACATCCGCCTGGCCTCCATCACCGATGAGTTTGCCTGTGACGTGAGGACGGGGTTGCTGAGGAACAACAGTGCTGTTCCGGTGGCGGTGCAGTGTAAGCTGGTGGCGGTAGGGGTGTTCAGGCTGCTAAGCTACATCAACCTGGGGGTGTACATCCTGCTGTCTCCCCTGGTGGTGTACGCTACACTGGGCCCGGCCAGACAGAGCTCCCGCTTCCTCCGGCCCTACGAGATGTTGCCAGCCTTCGGCGCTCTGGACCTGGACACACCCTTCTACAATGACCTCAGCATGTACCTGCTCTTCCTGGAGGAGAACCTCAGTGAGCTTAAGTCCTATAAGTGTCTGCAGGTGGGTAACAACACTGCAATTTGTGTTTAGTCAAATTATATGGTCATTCAGCAGTGACCATGTGTTGCCCATTTGGGTTTTTAAGTAATAATTTACAAGCATTGTGATCCCAACTAAGTGACTAATTGAAACCACAATAGATTACAATGGATTGCACTGTCTTTGGGTAGTGTCCACTTTGGAAAATATGTTTGGAATTATGTTATCCTGTAGAGACATTATTTAATGTCTGGTATTACCTTGAGGTATCAGCATGTCTATTTATGTGCTGTGTATCATTTGATACAGGTCCTGGAGCTGCTGAGAGAGGGAGGTGGTGAGGCCTTTGACACCATGTGTCTGCTGCAGACTCTGGGACAGGTTAAGACAGATGTGGTGGATGGGAAAAAATCCACTTCATACCAGGACAGCAAAGACAGCACCAAGCTTGGAGAGGAGGAGGACACAAACTCATCTGAGCTGAGAGGTGAGTGGGTGGCCCACAAATTGATTGGTATGGTCATCTTCCTCACATAATAAGGCTGATTTAGATGTTCAGCCACGATGTGGAGTTAAAGGAAAGATTTACCCATTTTTAATGTTATATCGTATTTATGCATCTCTTTGCGATGTTCTATCGATTCCCAGGGTTATTTCATGCGAATAGCTCAGACACACATTGTCACGCCTACTCCTGCTCCCTCCCTCCGGCGCTCAATGTCTCCGGTGTACTAACTACCGGTCCTGGCAACCCACATTGCACACACCCGGCAACCATCATTGTGCACACCTGCTCCCCATCGTTAAGCACACCTGGACTTCATCACCACCCTGAATACTCTTCCTTCATATAGCCCTCACCAACCTCCATCATCAGGCAGTATTGGTTCTGTTTTCATGTCCAGACGCTTTTCTTGTTTTGTAACTATGTTTGTAATGTATTTTATATTTTTTTAGGGGGTAGATCAGCTTTAAAATTGCAGGTAGATTGTAGCTTCCATCAATGTAATTGTCTGCATCACTTCCAATCCCCGATATATGTTTTTGCAAATATATACAGTGAAGGAAAAAAGTATTTGATCCCCTGTTGATTTTGTAAGTTTGCCCACTGACAAAGAAAAATGATCAGTCTATAATTTTAATGGTAGGTTTATTTGAACAGTGGGAGACAGAATAACAACAAAAAAATCCAGAAAATAACGCATGTCAAAAATGTTATAAATTCATTTGCATTTTAATGAGGGAAATAAGTATTTGACCCCCTCTCAATCAGAAAGATTTCTGGCTCCCAGGTGTCTTTTATACAGGTAACGAGCTGAGATTAGGAGCACACTCTTAAAGGGAGTGCTCCTAATCTCAGCTTGTTACCTGCATAAAAGACACCTGTCCACAGAAGCAATCAATCAATCAGATTCCAAACTCTCCACCATGGCCAAGACCAAAGAGCTCTCCAAAGATGTCAGGGACAAGATTGTAGACCTACACAAGGCTGGAATGGGCTACCAGACCATCGCCAAGCAGCTTGGTGAGAAGGTGACAACAGTTGGTGCGATTATTCGCAAATGGAAGAAACACAAAATAACTGTCAATCTCCCTCGGCCTGGGGCTCCATGCAAGATCTCCATGCAAGATCTCAAGCACATATACAGGCCCGTCTGAAGTTTGCCAATGAACATCTGAATGATTCAGAGGAGAACTGGGTGAAAGTGTTGTGGTCAGATGAGACCAAAATCGAGCTCTTTGGCATCAACTCAACTCGCCGTGTTTGGAGGAGGAGGAATGCTGTCTATGACCCCAAGAACACCATCCCCACCGTCAAACATGGAGGTGGAAACATTATGCGTTGGGGGTGTTTTTCTGCTAAGGGGACAGGACAACTTCACTGCATCAAAGGGACGATGGACGGGACTATGTACCGTCAAATCCTGGGTGAGAACCTCCTTCCCTCAGCCAGGCCATTGAAAATGGGTCGTGGATGGGTATTCCAGCATGACAATGACCCAAAACACACTGCCAAGGCAACAAAGGAGTGGCTCAAGAAGAACCACATTAAGGTCCTGGAGTGTCCTAGCCAGTCTCCAGACCTTAATCCCATAGAAAATCTGTGGAGGGAGCTGAAGGTTTGAGTTGCCAAACGTAAGCCTCGAAACCTTAATGACTTGGAGAAGATCTGCAAAGAGGAGTGGGACAAAATCCCTCCTGAGATGTGTGCAAACCTGGTGGCCAACTACAAGAAACGTCTGACCTCTGTGATTGCCAACAAGGGTTTTGCCACCAAGTACTAAGTCATGTTTTGCAGAGGGGTCAAATACTTATTTCCCTCATTAAAATGCAAATCAATTTATAAAATTTTTGACATGCGTTTTTCTGGATTTCTTTGTTGTTATTCAGTGTCTCTCACTGTTCAAATAAACCTACCATTAAAATTATAGACCGATCATGTCTTTGTCAGGGGGCAAACGTACAAAATCAGCAGGGGATCAAATACTTTTTTTCCTCACTGTATATACAGTCGTGGTCAAAAGTATTGAGAATGACAGAAATACTAATTTTCACAAAGTCTGCTGCCTCAGTTTTGATAATGCAATTTGCATATACTCCAGAATGTCATGAAGAGTGATCAGATGAATTGCAATTAATTGCAAAGTCCCTCTTTGCCATAAAAAGAACTTAATCCCCAAAAAACATTTCCACTGCATTTCAGCCCTGCCACAAAAGGACCAGCTGCCATCATGTCAGTGATTCTCTCGTTAACACAGGTGAGAGTGTTGACGTGGACAAGGCTGGAGATAACTCTGTCATGCTGATTGAGTTAGAAGAACAGACTGGAAGCTTTAAAAGGAGGGTGGTGCTTGAAATCATTGTTCTTCCTCTGTTAACCATGGTTACCTGCAAAGAAACACGTGGCGTCATCATTGCATTGCACAAAAAGGGCTTCACAGGCAAGGATATTGCTGCTAGTAAGATTGCACCTAAATCAACCATTTATCGGATCATCAAGAACTTCAAGGAGAGAGGTTCAATTGTTGTGAAGAAGGCATCAGGTTGCCCAAGAAAGTCCAGCAAGCGCCAGGACCGTCTCCTAAAGTTGATTCAGCTGCGGGATCGGGGCACCACTAGTGCAGAGCTTGCTCAGGAATGGCAGCAGGCAGGTGTGAGTGCATCTGCACGCACAGTGAGGCAAAGACTTTTGGAGGATGGCCTGGTGTCAAGAAGGGCAGCAAAGAAGCCACTTCTCTCCAGGAAAAACACCAGGGACAGACTGATATTCTGCAAAATGTACAGGGATTGGACTGCTGAGGACTGGGGTAAAGTCATTTTCTCTGATGAATCCCCTTTCCGATTGTTTGGGGCATCCGGAAAACACCATGTCCGGAGAAGACAAGGTGAGCGCTACCATCAGTCCTGTGTCATGCCAACAGTAAAGCATCCTGAGACCATTCATGTGTGGGGTTGCTTCTCAGCCAAGGGAGTGGGCTCACTTACAATTTTGCCTAAGAACACAGCCATGAATAAAGAATGGTACCAACACATCCTCCGAGAGCAACTTCTCCCAACCGTCCAAGAACAGTTTGGTGACGATCAATGCCTTTTCCAGCATGATGGAGCACCTTGCTATAAGGCAAAAGTGATAACTAAGTGGCTCGGGGAACAAAACATCAACATTTTGGGTCCATGGCCAGGAAACTCCCCAGACCTTAATCCCATTGAGAACTTGTGGTCAATCCTCAAGAGGCGGGTGGACAAACAAAACCCCACAAATTCTGACAAACTCCAAGCATTGATTATGCAAGAATGGGCTGCCATCAGTCAGGATGTGGCCCAGAAGTTAATTGACAGCATGCCAGGGGCGGATTGCAGAGGTCTTGAAAAAGAAGGGTCAACACTGCAAATATTGACTCTTTGCATAAACTTAATGTAAGTGTCAATAAAATCCTTTGACACTTATGGAATGCTTGTAATTATACTTCAGTATACCATAGTAACATCTGACAGAAATATCTCACAACACTGAAGCAGCAAACTTTGTGAAGACCAATACTTGTCATTTTCAAAACTTTTGACCACGACTGTATACACTACCAGTCAAATTTTTAGAACACCTACTCATTCAAGGGGTTTTCTTTATTTGTACTATTTATTTATCAGTTATTTATCAGAAGATAGTCCTATTTGGTAAAAGACCAAGTCCATATTATGGCAAGAACAGCTCAAATAAGCAAAGAGAAACGACAGTCCATCATCACTTTAAGACAACCATCAAGCGCTATGATGAAACTGGCTCTCATGAGGACCGCCACAGGAATGGAAGACCCAGAGTTACCTCTGCTGCAGAGGATAAGTTCATTAGCGTTACCAGCCTCAGAAATTGCAACCCAAATAAATGCTTTACAGAGTTCAAGTCACAGACACAGCTCAACATCAACTGTTCAGAGGTGACTGTGTGAATCAGGCCTTCATGGTCGAATTGCTGCAAAGAAACCACTACTAAAGGACACCAATAAGAAGAAGAGACTTGCTTGGGCTAAGAAACACGAGCAATGGACATTAGACCGGTGGAAATGTGTCCTTTGGTCTGGAGTCCAAATTGGATATTTTTGGTTCCAACGGCCGTGTCTTTGTGAGACGCGGTGTGGGTGAACGGATGATCTCCACATGTGTATTTCCCACCGTAAAGCATGGAAGAGGAGGTGTTATGGTGTGGGGGTGCTTTGCTGGTGACACTGTCTGTGATTTATTTAGAATTCAATGTACACTTAACCAGCATGGTACCACAGCATTCTGCAGTGATACGCCATCCCATCTGGTTTGGGCATAGTGGGACTATCATTTGTTTTTCAACAGGACAATGACCCAAAACACACCTCCAGGCTGTGTAAGGGCTATTTTACCAAGAGGGAGCGTGATGGAGTGCTGCATCAGATTACCTGGCCTCCACAATCCCCCGACCTCAACCAAATTGAGATGGTTTGGGATGAGTCGGACCGCAGGGTGAAGGAAAAGCAGCCAACAAGTGCTCAGCATATGTGGGAACTCCTTCAAGACTGTTGGAAAAGTATTCCAGGTGAAGCTGGTTGAGAGAATGGCAAGAGTGTGCAAAGCTGTCATCAAGGTGAGGGGTGGCTATTTGAAGAATCTAAAATATATCTTGATTTGTTTAACACTTTTTTGGTTACTACAGGATTCCATGTGTTATTTCATAGTTTTGAATTCTTCACTATTATTCTACAATGTAGAAAATAGTAAAAAAAATAAAGAAAAACCCTTGAATGAGTAGGTGTTCTAAAACTTTTGACTGGTAGTTTATATACATACAGTGCCTTGCAAAAGTATTCATCCCCCTTGGCGTTTTTCCTATTTTGTTACATTACAACCTGTAATTTAAATGGATTTTATTTGGATTTCATGTAATGGACATACACAAAATAGTCCAAATTGGTGAAGTGAAAAAAAGCCCCTAAATAAGATCTGGTGCAACCAATTAC